ACGCATCGTTTCGGATGAAGTTCGGTACGGCACTATACGGAAGCACGGCATATGCCCATGTCCCATGCGTTTAGATGTTCGACGCAAACGCAAGAGTGATTCTCCGATGTACCAGGTTTGTACCAAGCCGCTCGTGTCCTCAGCATCCCGCGGCATTGCCCTCCCTGGCCGGACAGAGATGGGCCGCCCCGCGAGGCGGGCGGGCTTCGCTCGAAGCGACTTCAAGTTGAGCCAGGACTTGATTTCGAAGTTGGCCGCCTAGGTTGGTGGCGGAGACCCAAGCCAGGCGGCGACTTGCCCGATCAAGGACGCGCTGGAGAATAATACTGAGCGGCATCCTGGGAAGACGGCCGAGGCCAAGAAGCGCGGGCCTACGCCGACCTTGACGCCCCAGAAGCAGCAGGCCATCACGAACGCGGCAATGGCCATGAAGCGCCGCGGCGAGGGGCCGACTGCGCCCGACTTGAAGCGGCGCTGCCCCGACGCGACGTTCAACCCTGGCACGGGCCGACAAGTGCACGTGCCTTGTTTTGATATCGAATTGCGCGGTCGCGGTCGATGGGGACAACACGCCGCGGGGCCACGTGCGCCCCGACCGCGCGACAGCACTGTCACCCGAGAAGAAGGCGTGGTGGATGGAATTTGAGCCGCGCGATGATGCCCACGGGGCGCCCAGCGAAGTGGCGCCACGCGCCGCGCGATCCTCTCGGACAGGCCGCCGGGCGCTTTCGACGAGAAGCAGGCGCCCCACGTGACGTCGAAGAGCTGGTTGCCACCTGACCCGATGGCCACGCTCTGGAATCAGATCGCCGCGCGTGACGCCGCGAAGCAGACGCAGTTCGGGGGCTGGAAGATCCGGCGGTCCATCGCGCTATGCAGAGGGAAGGTGCGCTTCGAGATTATGGGCAGCGACTGGAAGACAACAGAGGCGAGCGTCGCTCAGGTGATTGCCCGCTTGGAACGCACCCCCCAGGACAATTTATTTAATCGCTTCGCTCATTCCGCCGGCCCATATTGTCGCACCGTTGTGGGCTAGCCGAGTTTTGGGGCCTCTTGGGGGCCGTTTTGGGGCCTCTTGGGGCTTCTTTTGGGCCTCTTGGGCGCCTCTTGGGGCGTCTTGGGGGCCTCTTGGGGGCCTCTTGGGGCCTTTTTGGGGCCTCCTGGGCGCCTTCTGGGGCGGAGGGCTCGATTTTTCAGTTCTCGGTTCCCCTCTTGAGCCCCTCTTGGGCCCGTCTTGGGGCCTCTTGGTCCGTCTTGGGCGGCACTTGGGCCGTCTTGGGGGCCTCCTGGGCCGTTCCGGGGCCGTTTTGGGAGCCTCGTGGGCCGTCTTGGAGCGGTCTTGGGAGCCTCTTGGGCCGTCTTGGAGCGTCCGGAAGCCGAAAAAGCCAGAACGCAAACATGATCGACCCACGAACCCGGAAAGGAATGTAGAACTGTAACACATGGCAGCGTTTTCAAAGACACCTGATTGGGTGACGGGCAAATGCAATATGAAGGTATCGATCTTGATGTACCCTGCCGAGGGCTGTGCTGTGCTGCGCCGTGCTGAATTGCGATGTGCCATGGCGCGACTGTGCTCTATAGCCTCGTGGATCGAGTCCTCCTTTGCATCCGAGTCCTGACCGAACTGATCTGGATCTTAAGCTCGAGCTGCCTGAACACATAGTAGCTGCCCCAGAGCTAATGGACAGGGGAACATGCCAGGAGGACGCGCCGCGAAACGTCCCAAGGGATGCGCCAGGCGACGTGCCAGGGGACGTGCCATGGGGTCGCACCGCGGGACGTGCCAAGGGGACGCGCTACGGAACGTGCCAATGGATGTGCCACGGGATGTGCCAGGGGACGCGCGACGCGACGTGCCAGGGGGACTCGCCAAAGGACGCCCCACGGAACGTGCCAAGGAACGTGCCAAGTTGCAATGCTGAGTGCATCGACCTTGATGTACCGTGCCGAAATCAGTGCTGTGCTGCGCCGTGCTGAATTGCGATGTGCCATGGCGCGATTGTGCTCTATAGCCTCGTGGATCGAGTCCTCCTTTGCATCCGAGTCCTGACCGAACTGATCTGGATCTTAAGCTCGAGCTGCCTGAACACATAGTAGCTGCCCCAGAGCTAATGGACAGGGGAACATGCCAGGAGGACGCGACGCAGAACGTCTCAAGGGACGCGCCAAGCGACGTGCCAAGGGACGTGCCATGGGGACGCACCGCGGGACCTGCCAAGGGGACGCGCTACGGAACGTGCTGGGGACAAGCGTTTCGCTCGAGACATCCTGTCAAAATCATTTGAATTCCTACGCGCGGGACGCTGCACGCGCGAGACATCCTCGGAATTCCTGCGAGCGGGACGTGAAAACAAGCATTTCGCCTGAGACATCCTCTGGCCCCCCACGAGGCCACCGCTCGAGACATCCTCCAATTTTGCAAAACCAGCGTTTCGCTCGAGACATCCTCAACAAATTATGAAAAACAAGCGTTTCGCTCGAGACATCCTGTCAAAAT